ACGACATCCATAGCTCTTCCCTTGTCTACTGGTGTGGTCACTATCCCCGCTTATGCAAGTTCCTTCCTTCACCTTCTCTTGCTTAACTGATAATTTCCCTGAGACACAAAATCGGACACATCACTGAAAGGTAAACAGATGACCTTAGCCACATTTCCTTTTTTTGGAATATGTATTACCAGAAAATACTGTCCGGGTCAGTAAAACAATACTATTATTTGTGCTCCGTTTTCTACTTATCTTCAGGTCTTCAGTGTTTTTTTTTTTTCAGACAATAACTGCTGAAAGTCTTCATGGCTATTAAAGTTATCTTCATCTCTTTTTGGGTTTCAGAGCATAGATATATACATCAAAAAAGATGCCAAGAAAGGAGTTGTGAATAACAGGCAGACTGACTGGTCCTTTCGGCTGGATGGCGTCCTTCACAATACCTCCCAGGAAGTGGCGTACGAGACTGTGGCCAAGCAATTGGTGTCTGAAGCTTTAATTGGGTATAATGGTAATTTGTTACTATTTTTATTCTTTTGATGATAAGTGGAGATTTGATCTGAGGGAGAGATCCTTTTGATGTCGCATTTGAGAAATGCAGAGATTCCTTTCTGAGTTTATTCATTTGCTTTTGAATCTTTTTTAGGCACGATAATGTGCTATGGGCAAACGGGAGCTGGTAAAACTTACACAATGATGGGAGCAACTGCCGAGTACAAGCATCGAGGAATCATCCCCCGAGCTATACAGCAGGTACTGGATCTGAATGGGAAAGAGGCTGGAAGAAATTACAAGGGCATCTCTTGTATCAGCTCTTGGCTGATACTCACAAAAGTCTTTTAACATGGTGAATATGTTTTATGTTTTTATCTCCACCAGTCCTTTTTTTCCCCCTATTTTATCCAAGTGGTGATCATTAAAGAAACAAAGCAACCTGTAAAACGTAGTTACTTTATACCTTTGTTTTACTACACCGTGACCTTGTGCACTGGTAACGGTGACGTTTCAGAACACTGGGATGGTGTTGGCTTGAAATATGCTGATTTGTTGGTCCCATTGCTGCATAGACACGTCCCTGTCCAGAGGCGCACGTTTACCACTGCTTTGAGGGGCAGGTCTGCTTACCTTTAGGCAGCGATACTGCAGAATGCACTCTGCTCCCGCAAAGACAACTGACACGCACGGCGTGGGGCTGACATGATGCGTACAACCTGAAGCAAAGGTGGGAGGCATTCTGTAGTTATGCTTTATTGTCCTTTGCAGAGGTTGTTCCTGTTTAATTCTCATAGCTTGCATAAGGTACTTGCTGCTTCCCAAATGTAAGCTGGCCTTCAAAAGTGTTGTTTTCAAAACTATAAATTTGAGAAATTCTATTAAAACTGTTGACTTAGCCCTGTTAGCCCTCAGGCAACCACAGTTCAGAATTAGCTACACACATGCAGATGCACTTTTAGCTGTTCAGAAAGTTATAAATAGCTTCTCTGGAAAGCCAAAAATAGCTAATAATTCTGTGACCTAGCACCGCCACTGACAAACTCTTTGTCTTTGTATAGGTCTTCAAAGCAACTGCACATTCCCTTGATCCATTCGTCACTGTCCGAATATCCTATCTGGAAATCTACAATGAGACCTTATTTGACCTTCTGGCAACCACGACAAGCAATGGGACCAGTGACATGCAGATGGCTGTCGTGGATTGCCCACAGGGTGTTTATGTGAAGGGCTTATCTATACATTCAGTTAGCCACGAGGAAGATGCTTTAAATCTCCTTTTTGAGGCAAGAGAAAACAAATAGTACACTTCATCTGACTTATATTTATTGGCTTAGCTGAAGGAGGAGGCAGGAAAGCTGGAGGTGGGTGGCCACAACATCTGGAGGGAGGTTCAGCCCTCTTTGTTCTCTTTATTGTGGGCAGAAGAATTAGTAACTCTTTGTAGCCATGTTCTTGTGCAAGGAAAATGTCCCTGGGACAGAGATTTTGGAAGATCTCCGTGGGGAAATCCTGTTTTCAGTGTACACCAGAGCAAGTCAAGTGATGGAGGAAATGTATTGGGGTGAGACCACAGAAAGTAGTAGCATTGGAGATTCCAGGCAGCACCGAAATAGGGAAGGCAGCCATAGAATCTGCTTTCATTTCACAAGGCTTATCTCACCGGCCACCTCACCAGCCCCTTCAGCAGACCAAGATCCCAGACAGCCAAAAAGACTGTCACATAAGGCAGTCAGTGAGTGACTTAGTACAACACGTACAATATTTGTGATCCTTTTAGACCCACCAGCTCACCTACACTGGCATTTCTTCCTGAAAACCACACCTGCCTGTCCTAGCTATGTCAGTGCTCCAAGAATAGAGTCTTATCAGTGACATCTTTGGCAGATAGTTTGCGATGGTCATGGCACAGGTACCGTTAGTCAAATTTTACAGCAGAGCCATTCACACAAAGGGTTAGATTTGTGAAGGCAGTTTGCCTTCTTATATCTGCATCTTTCTTTTACTTGTGGGTGCCTTAGTTCATAAGGAAAACATGAACAAATAATTGATTCTGTATGCAGGAAGCGTATTCTTACCACAAGCCGTCTGGTGTCCTTAAAATCTTTGGCTTGCCTTTTTAATAATGGGACTGTGGTGTCCTAAGCTAGTCCCTGTAATTTGGAGGAACTCCCATTTTCTTTTTAAAGAGTAAAAGGATGATGATAATGCAGCTTAACCTGAGATCTGTTGACAGAAGTGCAAGTGATGCCTGGGGATCCGTTCAGCTCCTTGGATGAGTTCTGCCTGTGGTTCTAGGTTCACAGAGATAGCTCCAGGCTTTGAGGAGGCTGCCCACTACTCTGACTCTTCATCTCTGGAGTGGGGTTGATAGTATTTACCTAGAGATCTTCACCTTCGTTCTTGCTCTTGGATTTATGCTCCCTAGTGTGGAGCCAGTCACTGGAGCTCTCAAAGGCTGTTGTCCTTTGAGACCCAGGCAGACCAGTTGGCTGTGGAACCCGCTGACAAGTGCATTTCTATGCTGTAGAGCCTTCCATTTCCTTTCCTACCTCGCCAGCCTGGCAGCACGGCTCTGCGACAGACTGGCACTCCTAACAAGCAGTTGCATCATCATTTTCAATGTTGCTTTCTTTTCCTGTAAGTAGGCATTACAAATTTGTGGCTGTCATGTATGTGTGAGTTTTCTATGACATTTAAAGCTTGGGGAACTCTTTGGTTTTATAGTCATCAAGAAACTGAAACAGCCAGGGAGGTATTGCCTCTGAACAAGGCTTGCCTGACTGTTCTGCAAAAAGCCACAGATCTGTGAGCTGAGCCTTGAAAGTAGAAATGCAGATAATGTGGTCTCCAGTAAAAGGCATTGTTACAGTAAACAGTGACCTTTACCAGCTGCACTGTGGAATGCTTTGAGAGGCCTTTGAGAAAGCAAGCGAGGCAAATACAGTGAGCTCCTGCCCTGACTGCTCTAACCAAACCAGCGGGTCAGTGTTACAGGCTCTGCAGAGTGAAGATTGAGCCACTGTTTATTTGACTGTGGATTTCTAATTTCCCTTCATTCTACCAGTGCAGAAGTTTAAAAACACTGTCTTCAATTTTACTTAATTTGCAGGGTGAGACCAACAGAGTGATAGCAGAGCACACACTGAATAAAAATTCATCCAGGTCCCATTGCATCTTTACTATTTATATTGAGGTAAGAGCTCCAGCAGTTTTTCTGGGGACTCAAATGGCTGAAGATCTTTACGTGTCTGTTTTTTACCGTATTTCAGTTTTGTCTACTGTTAAGTACAGTTTGTATTATTTTCTCCCTCAGTCTCGTTTCAGAGTTTTCTCAGATGTCAAATGCATTAATTCTAAAATCAACTTAATAGATCTGGCAGGCTCAGAGAGACTGAGCAAGACTGGAGTAAGTAATGGAAGAAATATTTCAATCCGTGGTGAAGAGTTCAGTAATCAACATGGTGGAGGTGAAATTACAGGTTTTCCCCACAACAGAATTCAGCCTGTGATAAATAGGAGAGACTGTGACAAATTGTAAGCCACAGTAACACATCAGCAGCTGCTCGGTTGTTTGCAGCTGCTGTATATCATTTCTAAGTCCACACGAATGTGACTCCCAGCCTGCATGTGCCTTCCAACCTCACCCAGATTCAGTTAGTTAATTTGAGTCTGTAATTTCTCCACAAAAGAAAGGGCCAGAGCCATCAACTATTAAGACGAAGAACTTCTGATTTTCCTCTTCATTCCGTGAGTGACAGTGCAAATCCCTCGCTTCTGGTGACAGCAGGCAAACTGTTGAAACTTTCTCAGAGCATTAGGGCTCAACAACTGAAAGCTCCTCAGGTCCAGTGTGACATTTTGTATTGATCAGAATAGAAATTGCATCGGCCCTGTGACATAATACATAATTCGCCCTTTGGGAAGGAAAGCCCATGGTCCTGGTAGACTTGCAATGAAAAATTGAGGTTTCTGAAAACTGATTTTCAAACTGAAGAAAGCTCTAGAAAGCTCTAGATCATGAATTTATTTGGTCTGAATTAGATCCTTACCCTCGCAGTCAAACAGAGTTGTACCCTCAGTAGGGAATAAGCTCTTTTCTGTGGTTCAGCCAGAAACACGCGTTGTGGAAGCTTTGCCTTTTCATCTTCATTACAGTCTGAAGGACAGGTTCTGAAAGAAGCCACGTACATCAACAAGTCTCTGTCGTTCCTTGAGCAAATCATCATTGCCCTGGCTGATCCTAAGAGGGACCACATCCCCTTCCGGCAGAGCAAGCTCACGCACGTTCTCAAGGACTCGCTAGGTAAGAGCTGTGGATGACAACAGCCTCAAGAAGTTCCTAGAAAACAGTGTTGTTTCAATGAGCATCCCGAGCCCTAAGGCCATAGTATACAAACACATGGAATTAATTTCTTATTCAAAGGGTATCTGGTTTTCCTGATCAAATAAAACAGCAGGCACAGGAGACAGTACAAAGCCCACACTGATCAAGCCAGTAGAAATTCATAAAACCTTCAAAAAACCTACCACCACCCTCCCCCCCAGCATGTTACAAGCCTTTTCAGATGCTCCTGCTTTAGCATCAGGCTACAGACGATAAACCCAAGGCTGTGGTGTGTCGTGAATTCACAGGAAAGGCTTAGAATCACAGAATCCTAGAACAGTTTGGGTGGGAAGGGACCTGTAAGGCCCATCTAGTCCAACCCCTGCCATGGGCAGGGACATCCCCAACCAGAGCAGGTTGCTCAGAGCCCCGTCCAACCTGACCTGGGGTGTTCCCAGGGATGGGGCATCCACCACCTCTCTGGGCAACCTGGGACAGGGTTTCACCACCCTCATGGTGAAACATTTCTTCCTTCTATCTAGTCTGAATCCACGCTCTTTTAGTTTAAAACTGATACCCCTTGTCCTATCGCTACAGGTCCTGCTAAAAAGCCTGTCCTCTTCTTTTTTACCAGCCCCCTTTAAGAACTTATGCTCTTGGAATGCAGGCTGGAGACAGGGGAGGAGGAAGCAGCTGGAAACAAGCTATAGGCATTTGTGTGGAGTAACTGAAGTCATCAGAAACGAGAGTGACGCCTGAGGCGTTCCAAGCACAAGTCTTGCGTTGCTTTTAGGAAAGGCAGTGACCCTGTCCTGCCAGGTTCCCCGCTATTAGAGTTAGGCCAAGGGCTTTTAAAATCCTCTGCTCTGGTTTTTCCAGTCTCAGGCTGTCACAGTTTGTATTCCCATCTTCTTCCTGCGTCATCGCCACATGAGAAGCACATTTCACCTTGATTCTTAAGTCGTTCTGCATCACTGTGTTTCTGTACCCATGGGAACTTTAGAGGGACAGTTACAAACTGGCTGTGTGCTTTGTTATTGCTTTTTCTCTATTTTAGTCAGCACATAATATAATAGATTCCAGAAAAGGAAACAACAAAAAAAAAGTTTGGTGTTTTTTTTTACTTTTTCCCAGGGGGAAACTGCAATACTGTCCTAGTGGCAAATATCTGTGGTGAAGCTGTGCATGTCGAAGAGACTGTAAGTTGAACTGATTTCTGCAGAATTAAAGTCTTTTTCCTGCTACTGTTGCAATTGGCCATAGCTAGGTTTAAAGAATAGTCTCTGGAGGGTTATGGCGGGAGTCCCAGAGAAACATCCTGTGTAATTCCTCAGAAACATTGGATAGCTCATCTTATCTCAAAGGCTTGGAAAACAGATTGCTCTCCAATCTGCTCTGTGATGCAGTCGAGTGGTAACTGGCCCCGGGGGAAAATGAGCACCTGAAATAGAGCAGGCACAAGCAGCTAAAATCTAAGCACACTGGATAGCGTTAATTATTACTGACCACATAATGAGGTCGATGGAATTGCAGCAGTTCACATCAGAGCTGAGCTGGCTTTGAGCTGGTTCAGGAATCAGGAGTAACAGTAAGGGCTTTTTTTAACCTGTGAAATAATGAGATTGGTGAAAGTCTTACTGTGCAAACTGGATCTTAACCACATCTGTAAGAGAGAAGGGAATCACCTTGCTCCTTGCCAAGGAAGTTTAACACAGCAAAAAAAGTAAACACAGACACCTTTTATGCAGTTGTCTTCAGGGCAGAGTTGTTTTTATCATCTCCTGCTTGTGCTCCGATAGCATCTAGAAATATGAGATATTACTGAGGAAATAGCTGCTATACTTGGCATCAAGAGAATTTTCAGGCTGCAGGGGCTTATTCTGAAGTTACCACAATTGCAGGAATTAAGCTTGAAGGCCATTGATGTGTGATTTGGAGTTTTTAGGATGTAAGTGATTTTGATCAGAAATGGGAGTGGGTATTTTTGAGATCACAGCTCTGGTACATGAAGAGCTGTCCACATGCAGAACACAAAAGACAAAAGACATCATCTGAAGCTGGCTAATCACATAGAAGCCAGTGAGCACTAGAAGATACACGCCTGGAATGAGAAATCCTACACTGCTCCCTGCAGTTAAATAGCTTTTGTATTTCTGTGTTCTGGGATCTGATATGATTAAGTAGTAACAGATTATGAAAATTATATCCTTGCCAATATCTCTTTCAGTTACTTAAAAAACATGTTTTTCAGTTGTCATCTCTTCGCTTTGCTACCAGAATGAAATGGATCACAACAGAGCCAGTCATCAATGAGACATATGACCGAGAGGTATGTAGAGAAGGGGAATGGAAGAAGCTATATTTTCTCAGATTCATTAATATTTAGGATAATGACCTTAAAAACCAGAGGGAAATTCAGTCGTTTAATGAATTACCACTCATCAGCCAAGCTGACACTTGCTGGATTTAGATATATGATAAAATGGATTAGTATTAAACTTTTTTCATTGGTATTTAATTAGTTTCCTTGAATATGCTACAGGGTACAGTCATGCAGATGGTCACATCTTCCCTGACACGTGGTGATTCTTTCAGCTACATACATACAGGTCCTTCATTTTTCTGATAAGGTTCACCTCTTAACAGAGATGTTCTGTTGTGGACTACTCGCCTGGTATGCGGAGAAGTCATCTCCAGTCCTACCTGCAGCTTTACACAGCCACAGCATCATCCCTGTTGCTGCTGGTAACACAAAATTTTTGCCACAATTACAAAACCTGTTTAAACAAGGAAATAATTTAAAGAAAATGATCATAGTGTTTTTGGTGTCCTGAATGTACTTTCACAGCTGAAACAGAGCTGGCAGCAGAGCCAGCTCTACTGCATAGAGCAGTAAATGCTCTATGAATTACTGATAGGCCAAAGAACAAGTTTAGAATTATCTGATCTATAACACATGTGGTGTGTGAGAACCCTGCTATATTTCATGGTGTGATCTCACTGGCAAGCAGAGAAACAGCTGGGGAGTTTCCTCCAACAGCTTCCAGAAGCAGCTGTGCAACAAACTGTCTTTTCCTCTTCAGTCCCTTTCATTTTTCTTGAGATGTGTGGAGAAGAGTAGCCAAAAGAGTAGTGTTTAAGGAAGCTGTTGTGCTTTGATGCTCAACGGGTAACTTAAAAAGCAGCTCAGTATCCAATTCTCACTGAATCCCAAGGAGTTTTCTGTCCCCACACCTTTCTGGAAACACATTCTACATAGTGAATGCTTGAAGATATTCCACATTATGGAGAGATTCAATCAAATACACCACAGGAGACTCCCTCCTCTATTAAAGTTAATGTCAGAACTCCTACTGAGTTCAGTAAGGGTCAGAGTGGAAACCTGCATACTTCTTTGCTTTCAAGATAATATCTCATAGTCCAGAACTTGATGGCCCCTACAGTACCAGAGCAGGAAAGCATCAAATTAAAAAAAAACCAGGTGGCTCTTTTTCTGATGGTGTAGGCTGACTCTGCAGGCAGTACACCCAGGACACAACAGAAGCTGTCTTGTTGGAAGCTAATCAAAGGCAAAATGATTTCCAGACTCACAACTTCACTGATGCCAACCTGACAGCAAACCCTGGGGGAGCTGGTATACAGCTCTGATGTTCTCTAGCAGCCAGTTTAATGCTGCTTTGCAGCAGTTTTTTCTCCAAGAACATTTGGCCATTTGCTCACCCTTTTGTTTTTCTGTTAGGGAACAGTGAAGGCTTTGGAGAAGGAAATTATTCTTCTGAAGCAGGAGCTGGCCATGCATGACAGCCTGGTAAGGAATAGGCTGCGCCGTCTTAGATGTGACCTAGTTAAGGCTTTGTCACGATCTTTGTTTTGCAGTAGAATCAGTTAACGCAGTGTCCAGTGCGATTATATTCTTGCTTCTGCTTCCAGCACTGTCTTTTGGGATTTAGGCAAAGCTCTGAAGAACCCATGCAGTGAGGCTGTGTTGTAGCTTCAGTCCCCAACCACTGCAGATGTTTTGTTCAGACTCCTGAAGCCCTCCTCTTGTTTGATTGAAATGTGAAGGGGAACGCATTGCTTTCAGCATGCTCTCAAGTCCCATGTCCTGTCGACTCAGATGATGAGAAACTGCAATCAGAAATTAAACATAAAGCTTCCCTGGGCACAGCAGAGCAATGTCAGGTGTCCCCCAGATTAGTACTTGCTTTGTTTTTTGTAATTCACTGATACTCAGTTGTTGACCTTTTTTCTTAGGTAAATCGTTCTTTGGTGACTTATGACCCTCTGACTGACGTCCAGATAGCAGAGATTAAGTCTCAAGTCCATAGATACCTAAAAGGGGCCATTGATGAAATTGATGTAAGTAGCTTTCTAGTGAGAAGGACTTAAATACTGATTCCATCCCATTTTACTCCAAGACAGAAGCAATGAAAATTCTTCTGAAGAGGCTGTCTTTAAGCCTAAAAGTGCTATACAATTGTAATTTTTTTTTTTTTGGCGTGTTAAGGACTTTCTCCCTGTTTTCATTCCATTTTTGCTTTTTTGGAAGCTTGAGGAAACTTTTTCTCAGTCCTGAAACCCTTTGAATTGCTTTATTTAGAACTTCTTTGAAGAATTAGTGTCAAAATTTTGCCCTGCCAGTGTCAAACTAAATCTTTGCAAAGCGTGTTGCCAAAATTTGTCCAGTCCCTTAGAGATAAGTTCAGAAGGACAGGGTTTCTCAATTTGAAACTACCTGTTGACTCCAAAATGATTGCGAAAAAAACAGCGAGAGTCCACATATGCAAATATTCCTGGAGGGGCAAACAGGAAAACCAACAAAATGTGAAAAAAGGCAAGTTACAAATGCATACTCACAGTTACTGTAAAGTTTTGTTTGGTTGTGAATGGAAGCCACTGTGACAACAGTGCAGAAGTTGCTAGAAGGTTGTTTTCCAAACAGTTAGATAACCCTTTCGTTTATACAAAACACTTGAGATACTCCCTCTCATTTCATGTAGTTGATATCTTCTCTCAAAGTCACTGCTTTCTCCCTCTAGCAGGCAGGAGCAGAGTGGAATAAGGGCTTAGGTGAAGGTGTGTTTTACCTGGGCTGCAAAACGTGATGCAGGTGGGTGTGGAGCAGTGAAGGTAGAGAAGGACTAAGGAGTTTCACACAGGAAAGGTTGTCTTCAGTGGCACTGAAGAACCTTTTGGAGAGAGGGTTGAGCACAGAGATAGTGCATTTCATAGCTTGGTCCAGTCTCTCGGGCCGTGGGAGAGCTGAGTGCAGATTCCTCCTCAGCTACAGACTCCCCGTTACTTGTCTGACCATGCCTCTGCTCATCATCTCCAAAACAGAGATAGGAGCATGGCTCGACTGCACTGATTTGTTATCATGGGTAAGCGAACCAAAGATAGTGCTCTGGCAGTTCCAAGGACTCTGGCAGTCTTGGGCAGTAGTGAAAAGAGAAGTAGCATCATAATCTGCAAGGCCAGTAGATGCCATCTATGTCATTTGTAAAATTATTGTAAAGAATTCATTATCTTGATGTCTGTGTGCTCCATGGAATTTACCACAGTCTGTCAGATTCCTCTCTCTTAAAAAATCTCCTCAGAGTGAGCAATGTATCCACTTCCAGCCCGACTCCCAAGTGCAGGATAAAGGTAACGCTCCATGAGTGTGGATAGCCAGCAAGCGGAAAGCAGAGCCCTCACAATCTGAAATATTTGGATCAGTACAGCTGACCACAGCATAGAAATGCTTACCTGTATCTTCACCTTTCTTCCTCAGATAGTGAACGTCAGGCAAGTCCAGGAGGTATTTAAGCAGTTCAAACTGATTGTAAGGTAAGATATCCAAGGCTGATGCATTTCACAGTAAGGTTTAGAAATTCCACCAAGCTTTTGTCTGTGATATCACACTTACCATGACATCAGTGAAGAATCATTATGAAGTACAGGGAATAACTTGTAACTGAAAACACAATTCTGGACAAATTCTGCTGGCATTTGGGCAAGATGACAATTGCCTCTGACCTTCCAGTGCTTGTAAGTCATGTGCAAGGGCTTTTGATGGTAAACTTCACTGGTTAAGAAGTCTGCTTGGCAAATATACCATCACTGAGCATAAACTCTGCAGGATCCGTAGTCATGGAGCGTATCTCCATAGTGCAAGGCACTCTGCAAACATCAAAAGAAAAATAAAACTCTGTGGCATGAGATGATATGAAGTGATCTCACCACAGTAGCATCTAAAAATCATCAGATTTACTTTGTGTTTAGAGATCATGGCAAAGGAAGGTCATAAAGCAATTTGGAGGAGCATGATAAGAAGGCCCTGTGGCTATTTCCAGGGAGGGGCTCTCTGATGTGTGGTGTGGGATGGGAGAAAGCGTGAAAAGTGGCTATTTGCAAATGTCACCAGTGGATGATGAAAGTTGGTTTTTGGGCTGAAGGAGGGAAGGTGAATGACAAGCTGGAAAAAAATCCTGAAAATGAGGACAAGCAGTTTCCATGTGATGAAATAGAAGAGAAAAAAGAAGAATAATGGCAAGCCCCCCAGTCCCTGTCCCACCAACTTTTGCAACAATGGTCTGGATAGGCAGTAGAGGTTGCTACTTACAAGAGTGTGTCCTGGTTTCAGCCAGGATAGAGCTGGTTTTCTTCACAGAAGCTAGTGTGAGGCTGTGTTTTGGATTTGGGATGAGAAACTGTTGATAATGTGCTGATGATTTGGGTTGTTGCTGAGCAGTCAAGGACAGTCCAGCTTCTTGTGCTGGCTTGCCAGCGAGCAGGTTGGGGGTGCACGGGGAGCTGGGAGGGGACACAGCCGGGACAGCTGGCCCAGACTGGCCGAAGAGATATTCCCTACCATATGACGTCATGCCCAGTACATAAACTGGAGTTGGCCGGGGGGCGGAAATCGCTGCTCGGGGACGGGCTGTCGATCACTGGGTGGTGAGCAATTGCTGTATTGGGCATCACTTGTTCTTGTACATTCCTTTGTTGGTATTATCATTGTTGTTTCCTTCTTTCTTTCTGTCCTATTAAACCATGTTTATCTCAACCCACGAGGTTTTTTTCCTAATTCTCTCCCCCGCCCCACTGTGGGAGGGGGAGTGAGTGAGTGGCTGCGTGGTGCTTAGTTGCCGGCTGGGGCTAAAACACAAAACAGTGACACTGGGATATTGCTGTAGAAAATCTGCCTGCCCTTGAGAAACTGGTGTGAACACAAGAGTCTGTGGTACACAGTCAGACAGGCTGGGACCCAAGACCAAAATGGGCTTAATGGTAAAATTTTGAGTGATTATTATTTTTTAACTTGGGACTCCTTTAATTTTTCTGAAACAGTGGGCTTTAGTCTTTTTTAACTTGCAGATTCTCTAACAATTTTCAGTCTTGTATAGTGTATTAAGCCTACTGACAATGTTTTACCTGTTCCCTTTCAGTGAAAGTATCGCTCCGTTTGAAAATCACTAGGGTAAAGTAAGGTGACAGAAGTGAACAGGTATAATGTTATTTGATCTAGACCATTAAAAGGTTTTCCTAAGTATTAAAATAGCCATCAAAAAGCATCAAAAAGTATCTAAAAGGCCTACAGGGAAATCATAGAAAAAGAAAGGAAGAGGAAAGTGGAAAAAGGTTACAATGGTTATGGGGAAGAATAGAAGGAGCAAGGTGGGGTGTTTTGGAAAGAGATTACAGGTAAAAGAGGGTTTTCTTTGGAAGTCTGACATTGTCAGGTATTACAGGTTTTGACATATGAAATAGCCCTCCTTGAACTCAATGGTAAGGGGCTGTTTTCTCCCCTAGTCAACAGGAGCATGAAGTGGAGGCCAGGTTACGAAGCAAGTACGCCCTGATAGACAAAAATGACTTTGCTGCTGTTGCTGCTGTTCAGAAGGTAACGCCTGGTGCTTGAGCCCTGCCAAGAATCCAGCTTAGAATTGGCTCCTTTGCTGCT